GCCCGCGTGTACAGGAGTGGTCCCCTCCGCCTGCCCGCAGTGCGCCTCCGGGGTTGTGCCGGCCTCCCGGGGGGCCCTGCACGTCCCCTCACGTGGCACCGCCTGACCGGCATTGGGGGCGCGCATCTTCTCATGGGTGTAACAGGCAGGGACGCTTTCCTGGGGCCTCTCGGCTCAGAGGCTGAGCCGGTTCCTGGGGTCTTTTTCTGACCCATTTGCACCGCACCACAGGAATAGCTTCAGCTTGGAAAGTGGGGCGCTCTGAGCCCAGGCACCACCTGCCTTTTCACGGGGTTTGTGCTGTTTGTTCCCTCGCTGGCGTTTTCAGTGCCGAGTCACCTGTTCGGCCTCCTTTCTCGGTGGATGGCCACACCAATGCTGGCCGCTACGTGCAAGGAACTGACCACGTGCTCCTTGCTTGCGCACTGTGGCACTGGGCACTGCGGGGGACGAGGTCTGAACTCGGTTCGGTGGCCTGTCAACCCTCCCAGGGCCCTGCTGGGCTCACAGGCTCCCGAGACGAGGAGAGACCCTCGCCTGCTGAGGAGACGCACCTGGAGAGGTAGAGACGGGGAGGGCCAGCTCCGAGGGGACCGGTGCCGGGCCGCAGTCTCAGGGCTCAGCCGTGTTTCAGGGAGGAGGGGTGCTGGGCGGGCCACCCAGGTAGGGGGTTCAGCCTGGACACCCGGGGCACGGGAACCCCAAATCCTGTCAGGGCACGCACGCGGTACNCACACACACACACACCTGCACTCTTTAACATTTACGTAGAACACACTAGGTCCTGTGTGTCTCAGGTTTCTGACTGACGCGAGCAGCGGCCCGGCCAGCAGGCCGTGACCAAGAGGCACAGGACGGCCGCAGCTCGCCGAGGGGACACGCACCTTGGCCACGCGGCCCATGTCCTCCATGGTGGCCCGCTCGTGCGGGAACTGGGCGAAGGTGCCCTCGATCCTGGCGATGACGGCGTCGATGTTCACGGCGCCCTGCGGCCGGCCTCGGGGGAAGTAGAAGGCGGGGAGGCTGTGGCTGGCGGCGGGCGGCAGGGGCTCCTGCTTCTTTGACTGCACCTGGAAGGAAGGCAGGGGACAGGCCGTGAGGTCCCGGTCGGTCGGTCGGGGGCTGAGTACCTGCTTCACACATGCGTGAGGAATGGAGGCGGAACAGTCCACAAGGGAACGCACCAGCCACCCCCCCACCCCCAAATTAGGAGCCGGAACTCCTGACAGTCCCTGCGGGCTGACGCTAGTCCCGAGCTGCCCACCCACGGGGTCACATGCCTGCGCTGTGCCTCATGCGACCACTGAAACGCCCGCTGGGCCTCCTGCCCTCCTGCCTCAGGGGCCCCCCCGGCATGGCCGTGGGGCAGGATGTGCCCCACAGCCCCCCAGGAGGTCAGGGTCCTCGTGCTCTGCAGGGGCAGCACAGGGGCTGCGGACGGGCAGGTGCTCACAGCTGGGACAGGGGTCACACCTGCACGTCTGAGAGACCTGTGCGCGTGCCCACCGCCCCCTCCCCCAGAAAGGACCTGGGCCCTGTGTCTCTCTCTCGCCAGCACGTGGACCAGCATGTGTAATACACGCAGGTGGCACAAGGCACAGTGTGACAGAGCCACCCAGACCCTTTCCAGCGTCTAACTGTGAACTGGGAGCCTGACGCACCGGCCGAGGCAAGGCTGTCAGGACACCTGCCCTGGTGACGCAGCGAGCCCACCCCGCTGGGCCGGCTGCAGGTACAGGTCGGGGGGTAAAACGGGGTTGCGCTCTGAAACTGCTGAGCAGACATTCCGTGCGGGGAACGTCGCGGAGCGCCTGCTGAAAGCCGCCAGAAGCGGAGCAGCCGGCGGGTCTGGGGGCACGATGGGGGGGCGGCAGGCACCAAGGCTCCTTTGTGGCCGCGCTCAATGAGCGGCGCTGTGCGGTCCCCAGCACTGTCTCCCGGGGACACAGCCGTCTCTGTGCTGACCCAGCAGGCCTCTGGGTGCCAGGACCAGCTGCCCTCCGCCGCAGCTCACGGACGGCCACCGAGAACCGTGCATCCTGTCGTCCCCGACTGGCAGTGCCAGGGAAGCACCATGCAGCCTGCGCACGCATCTCCAGCCCACGCCCTGCGTTCTGTATGCCTGGGGACACGACGCCACAACCTGACACGGCAGAAAGAGCCCAGGGTCCCGGCAGTAACAGCTGGAGGAAGGGGTGAGAAAAGGGTGCCGGAGGCGAGGGGGACCAGTGGGGGCTGGAGGGCCACCAATCAGAGAACGTGGACTGAGGGGCACAGCTCTCCACGAGGTATGGGGACCTCTGCCAGAGGGCACGACGAGACCACACGGAACCAGCGAAGCCTGCAGGGGACACACACTCAACCACACGGGGCGTTCACACACCTG